GGCCGTGAGAGGGGAATGAAAATACAGCGGGAGAAGTTAGTAGCGCGTCATCATCTGCCTTAGAACAAAACAAGACGCAGTGTGATGATCTCTGAAGTTTCTTTCTTTTCAGAATGCGTCTTACATCACGTTAAGATGCCCCGTGTAGTTTAAGGCGTTTCCTCGATGGAGGGGTAGTGGGCTCGCCGGGTCCTAAATTTCCTTGACCCGTTGTCATGACTCTGCCCCAGGCCGCGATCACCCCGCAGGAAACTCTCCGTGACACAAATCCCTGACAGCGGCATTTGGGTGGATGTGCAAGATTCACACTGAGGCGCTCAAGTGAGCAGTCGACAAGGACTCTAAAGGCATCGAAACGGAACCAAGCTGCCACCAAGGATGCTTGTCTGTCTGTCCGTCCGTACATTTGTCTGTACGCATCTAGTTTTACGCATGTATGCAGGCATATGTATGTAGATGTACGTATGTGTGTAGGCATGAAAATATGAAGGAATGCATGCATGCATGACTAAATGGATGAAAGAAGGAATTTGTTATGACATGTCATGGTGCGCATGGAAACCTGCAGTTGGTGTGATGTTTGCCACGTGCGTATGCAGCCTTACCACCTAGGCCATCTATGCCATGAATGCAGTATGTGCAGTTCTGTAAATGAATCTCTTGCAACCAATGTGTCACAATGTATGTGCCTTGCATGTTGCGCATGTCATGTATATATGTGTTGAGCTATATATGTGTTGAGCATCACGGACTGCATGGTACTGCGATGTCATGTGATGCAATGTGTGCAATCTGCTGTAACGGGCATGTATGCACGTATGCATGCATGTATGTATGCATGTGCGCATGTATGCCTATGTTTGCGTATGTGGATGTTCGCGCATCTTCTGAGAGCACAACCGAATGTGGCAGAATATGAGCCCATGTTAAAGTTAGATTCCTTTCAGCTTCGAGGTGCGAAGTCGAAGTCCCCGGTCTCGCATTTCAGGACGTAGAAGCAGTAGCCCAGCAACCGCAGGAGCGCCGCGTCCACGTGCAGCTTCACAGCCCTGATCTGCTCCTCTGAAGCTTTTGGGGTGTGTAGGGGATTTATCTGGGTTTTAAGGGGCTCCGGCGCTTTCGTTGTTGTGGGCTTTAGTTCTTTGTTTTTGGCGGGTTGTGGTATGGATGTTTGAGATGCGAACATGTGCTTGAAGTTAAGGTCTTAGGGTATCTTCCGCGATTCGCAGGGTTTGGGGTTCTTAGAACGTGTTTCAGAAGGTGCCAGCGTCGAATGATTAGGCTTCGGAGGTTTTTGTGGCTAATGGGTTTGCGGTTTAGAGCATTTGGCTCGGGGTCTGTTGCGGGTTAAGACAATGTCTGGTAAGGTTAAGGGTTTAAGGGCTTGGAGCAAGGTTCAAGGGTTTAGAGCTTAGAATTTAGGCTGGGACTTTGCTTTTTTTTTATCACCTCTTTTCCGTCCGCCTGAAACAAAGGTGTTCAGAATACCATGTTGGTTGAGGCAGGGTTCGGACTTTGAAGGTTTAGGGATTTGGTCTCCTGGAGCTTTTGCTGCGTCTTAAACGCCGGCCAGATGTTCAGGATCTGCTGAAGCTGCTCCTGGTCCAAAGCGAAGTACGGGGAGAAGCAGACAGAGGAGGTGTGAGAGAGAGCGCGAGAGAGAGTCAGAGAGAGAGAGAGAGACCGGGAGGCTGCGGTTAAATAAACGACACTACATTCACGACGGCACGCGCACACACCCACACAAACAACACAGACACAAACAAGCGAGCCCGCGCGTGTGCACACGCAGACTTGCAGACTGACAGATTCTGCGGCCTTCACCTTCACCATGATAGAAAGGAATGGCCGGTATTTGTGCATCGAGATGTGGCATCGCGTGATGAAGGTTTCGATGAGTCCCACTCGTTGCGAGATTTCGGTCCTGAGCGCTGGGAAATTTGAGTGTGGCAGGGGGGGTGTATATGCAAGTCGGAAATCAGCCGCTAAGAACCGCTGCAAGGGCTTTGGGGCTTTGGCCCCTGTGCGAAAGCTCATCTGCTGGCTCTGAAGACCGCTCATTACTTCAAGCTTCAGGAAATCAGGAACCCAGAAGTAGCTTTTACCCGGACACATGTATACGGCTGTTGTAATCGCAATCCGTAATTGTAAGAACCCGCCTTCTAGCCTGCAGACGCCTACAGAAAGACGAGCCGAGCCGAGGCAGGGCCTCTCTCTGCGCCCGGCGTCAGTGTTTCGTCGGTGGGGTTCATCAGGGTGGCGAGCCGCTTGACAAAGTGATGGAACTCATTCCTTACTGACAGGAGGCGTCCTTTGGCGGCCGTGCTTCTCATGCCACCCTCTTAGTGCGACTCTACTTGTCACCATCGTAGAAGGCAAGAGCTCTCAGCTTACGGCCTTTTGGTAACTATAGCTTGGGATGCAAAAAACTTGGTCGTCATATAGTGTGCCGTTATGCTCGGGCCGCTTGCGCGCATAGCAAGCAGATTCTAAGCCCCCCTTGCCTTTTCCGGTCTTCGTTGCTGGCCAAGGGGCACGACCAGAGAGGATGCGCTATGGCGGTCCCCGGGGTGTTCCTCGTGAATCTGCGTAAGCTTGTAGTTCCGCAAACTCACCTGAGACAGCCGTGCTGCACAAATTGGGACGAAGTTGGGTTAGGGAGAGAGAGAGAGAGAGAGACAGAGAGAGAGAGAGAACAAAAAAAACAAAAAAAACAGAAGGACGGAAGGAAGGCACGTATCAGTCGAAAGACTCAGAAGAAAGCACGCGTGTTCAACGAGGACGGAGACATGCAGCAAATCATGGCTGAAATCGCGATTGACAGTAACAGAGAAAACAGGACAACGCCGGAACACGGCCACCAAAACAAGGAATCAATGCTCCGGCAGCCGGCCCAAATTTGGGTCAACATGCGCGCAAGAGGCTTCCCCTTGAGCAATAGATGATGCATACCTTAACCCACCAAAACCTACTCTTTTGCAGGGTCCCTATAAATCCCATACTAGGGTTTATAATAAGAACCTACCAAAACCTACTTTTTGGGTAGGTTAAAGTAAACGTAGCACGAGAACATCTAAACATATGGGAGTTTCCGGAAATAGGGGACCCTAATATAGCACCCTAAATAGTAGGACCCTTATTATAAGGACCCCAAAATAAGGTACCCCTAATTTTCGGAACCTGCCATATCTAAACCAAAGGATCCAGAACGACAGCGGCAATGTACCGACGGCAGTAGAGCAGCAGCGAGGGAGACACTCTCGGGAGGGAAGGGAGTTGGGAGTTTTTGCCTCCTACTTAGGGTTTAGGGTTTAGGGTTTCGGGAGGCAAAGGAATTGGGATGGACGTGACGGGTTGTGCCAAAAAGCGCTCCCGTTGCCGGGTCACTGAGAGGCTGTTGGCCTCCTTGCCCAGGAAGCCGATGTCGTGATGGTCTGGCATGTGAATGTCCCCGTGTGTCACTGGGATTGCTGCACGGTAATAATTGCCGACAATTCCGCTGAGCATTCCATGGGATGACTCGATCTTGAAGGGTGCAATCTCGTGCGGGTAGGGTAATATGCCCATGTGCTTGTACATCTCCGCAATCTCTGTGACGTGCTCCGCTTCCTTCTTGGACAAGTGCCAGCCATGGAGTGCCTGCAAGTTCAGCGGACTACCCCTCTTTTTATCAGAAGCGGAGCAGGGCATGGGGACTTCGGACAATGAGCACACCATACCCTCCATGCAGCCTCTATTGCCCTAAACCTCAAATACTTACTAGAACTTGGGGCCATATACCCCTGATTTGAGGGTACAAGGGGTTTCCTGGCACCCATGTACAATCTGCTGAGAAACGGCCGTATCATAAATAACGCGAATAACAGTAACAGTAATTGTAAAAACAAGAATCACATAATGATGGCAAGGAACAACTGATGACACGAGCTATACAAGGAGAAGCAGTAGCAGTAGCAGTAGCAGTAGCAGTAGCAGTAGCAGTAGCAGTAGCAGTGGCAGTCGTAGTAGTAGTAGTAGTAGTAGTAGTAATAATAAGTAGTAGTAGTAGTAGTAGTAGTCGTCGTCGTCGTCGTCGTCGTCGTCGTCGTCGTAGTGGTGGTAGTGGTAGTGGTAGTGGTAGTGGTAGTGGTAGTGGTAGTGGTAGTGGTAGTGGTAGTGGTAGTGGTAGTGGTAGTGGTAGTGGTAGTGGTAGTGGTAGTGGGGTGGTGGTGGCGGTGGCGGTGGTGGTGATTATGGTATTGGTATTGGTAGTGGTAAAAATTTTGATGAACTTACAGTTACAAAAGGAAGTAGACTAACGACAATAACATGATGATGATAACGGTACGTATGAATAAGAAGACTATGAAGACCACTAGTGTCACTGGATAGCATACTACTACGAATACTCGTGGTAAAAACGAAATACTCACAAATCAGAATACTAAAACTCACTTTCATAGTCGTGATACGAACAATAATACTCAAAACAACAACAAGAATAAACCACTAAGCAGAAACGAGTAATAATCGGGATGTTAAAAAGTAGAATAAGGTAAATAAGAATAGGAACAATAGTACCACAAATGAATACAAATAAGAATAAGGCGAAGAGTAACCACTGAATGATCATTACAATGGGCCTCTTGGTCCTCGGAGCCTACGTTCGTGGATGCCGCGGTAGTCGCAGCAGCGGCCACCGCCACCTGCATCTCCGGGGAAGCCATGGGCGCGCTGTCTGTGGCTCTTGTGGCCCAAGAGGACAAACAGTAGGTTCCCTACAAAAATTCTAAACGGCTAAACCCTTTGCTTCCTTGGGAAGCCTCGGGCTAGAGATGCCTCAATATCACAAGTCGAGAGGTGCACAACATCGCGGAACTCCAAGCAGGAAGAACAAGAGACACGAAAAACACCGCATGAGCCTTTTCCGACTGTTCCGCTGTACTTGGAAATCTCTGGTTAATTGCGAGGCACTGCCAGGCACGAGGTTGGGTGAGACGCATGGTTTGGCGATGTTAGTTTCAATCGTGGTGAGGCCGGTAGCCTCCGACACGGCCGCCACCGTACTGGACTTGTCTCGGCCTCGGATTTCCAGAATCCTGTAAATGAGCCTGCGTGGACAGAATTGGCTCACCCATCTACTGGCGCACCTTTGAGTGCCTTGGCCATGAATGGCCTGCCGCTCGGCGTGCTTCAGCACGAAGAGTCTGGGTAGCAAAGGACGGCAGTCTCCGAGAAGGTGCTCCCGAATAAGCAAGGACTAAGGCCCCAACCCGCCGCCTACCACGACACCGTAGACGGTGAGCAGGTAGGTGCCGATCTCGGCCATGGGCAACCAGCTCTGTGACTCGCTTATACATGAATGTTTGTGATCTTCTCCCTGTCTTGCATCCGGGCTATGAAGTAGACCCAAACACTCCTCCACACCCAAGAGCACGCAACGCGTAGGCTTCCAGCCAACGAAGCAGCCGACACCAGAACCAGGAGGAAGAAGGCCAAGCCCGAGAACGCATCCTGCGCACTCCGCTCTTGCTGCACTTATATGGATGGTTGTCAAAATTAGGGTCCCTTTCTGGGTACCCAAAATGTTCGGTGCCGTACTATAGTACGGACCCCAAAGGGACCCTTCTTTTGCCCATATGTGGGTAGTTCTCTGGCCTCGGGTCCCTTCTTTGGTCCCCCAAAATAGTACGACACCCCGATAAAAAAGGACCCTAAAATTAAAAAAGGACCCGAATTTACAGAACGACCCATATTGTAATTAGAAGGTCATACTATGCTAAATTAGACTATGCTGTGTCATGTTGCAATGAAAGTACCCTGCTCTCTAGAAAGGCTTCTTCAAGACTCGACGAGCATGCTACACGGCTGCACATCACCCTTACAAATACTTGCTGATCGTGCTCTGTCGGTGCACGCCGCCGCGACAGAACAGCATTGGGCACATTCCGGGTAACATCTGCAGTTTGTCCATTGATCACTCCTAAGCCGCCCGGCTGTATGCTATTCTCTTCCGGGGCCCTCCTCTTTTCTGTTGTCGCCTCACAGGCACCACTTCAGGGTGCCACAAATCCAAGATGGCACCCATGGAAAGCCTTAAAAAAGATATGATGGCCCTCCAAGAACGGGATCTATGAAGCAGGAATTCCCCATACAGCCCCTTTTGAACCAGTGTCCCCACATGCCAGACCCTGGCCTCCCCGTAGTTCACCAACAGCTGATAGACGTGGTACATGAAGAAGAAGAAGGCAGAGATTAAGCCCAGGGTCAAGTTGGCTGCGTACCTTCCAGGCGAACCGGGTTTTACGGCTCATGGGGTCCTTGACCCTAGACCCTATATAAAGTGGCCCACTGGAAAGCCAGCTTCAGCAAGATGCTGACCAGGGTCTCCTGCCAGTAGAGAATGGTATTTTGAGTGCTGCGAGCCGGCCACACTTTCTTTGCGTCGTCCTCCTTCCCACCGAAGGCCATGAAGATGGCATCGAACCTCTGGTGGGGATTTCCGAAACTAGGGGATCCAAATATAGTACCCTAAATGGTAGGATCCTTACTCTAAGGACACCAAAATAAGGTACCCCTTATTTTCGAACCTCTGGTTTTCAACACAACAGCAGGCACATGCGGAGCAGGCCCAGGCTTTCCGAGAGCCTGGCATCGTGTACCTCGACATTGCAACTCCAACGTTGGGCAGGTAAGTCTTTCCGTGATGTCTGGTGTCCCGAGAGTGAGAGGCTACCCCACACCCCAAACCCTCACACCCTCCTGAACTCTAACACCTCAAATCTCAAACCCATTAGTGCCCTGATGATAACCGCCAGGAGAACACTAAATCCCAGGGAATCCTAGGCAAAAGAGCTGGCCGATGTGCGCACCTCATGGCGAGATCTTTCCCAGACTGCCACGCGGCCCAGAACCGGTCCCGAACCTCCGAAAGACACAACTGCAACCAGCGGGACAGCTATGTTAGAAGTTCTTATTGTGTGCACGCGGGCTTTGATATGCTTTGACTATAGGGGAATCGGGGAATACTGCGAATTCTTCAGAGCCCTATATCGTATATGAGAATGACTGGGTTTACCAGTGTATACCATGGGCATACGTGTTTCATCCTGGCCCCGCTCCAGAATGAGCTTTAATGTCAACTGTGACCGATAAATCTTCTGAAGCCCCCATGCCGCATCGTGATCTTTCTGCAGCGCACGCATCGTTTCTTGACTGATGCGCGGCCAAGCTTCGATTGAATGTGCTTGGGCTGCCTAGGAGTGGTCCATGTGGCATGTTACATTTGCCATCCCTTGAATCCGAAACCTCAGCATCTCGCCGTCTCTGTCGCCTGAATTGTCCAGGGCCTATAAATTAAAGTCTGGATAGTTACCTCACCCCGCCCTTCCCACGCGTCCCAACTAACAGATGGCCCCATAAGCTGCATTTCCGCCTTGTGGGGCTTTGTGGGTCTCTCTCTCTCTCTCTCCCGCGCGCCCCCCGCAGGAGTTGCAGTGCTGAAACAGCACCTTACTTGCTTCCAGCGGCGACGCGCTGCGCTGAAATCGAGGAGCAGTGATGCGAAGATTGGAGCGCTGGACCCTAAACCCTAAACCCTAAACCCTAAACCCTAAACCCTAAACCCCCATCCCCAGGCCGGGCCTCCTGGACTCCAAACACGGACCAAATGCCCACCTGTGCTCAAAACGTCACACGGAGGTGCCCGAATTCCCTCAGCCTGCGCCTCTCTCCGCGCGTCTTTCATGATTCGATCAACCTTCTGCTGCACCCTGTCGGCCTGGGAAAAAGCAGCAAAAGTGGCGAGAAGCACCTTTTTTGTGGGGCTCAGGGGAAGGGGGCCCCCCAAACCCTTAAACCCTCAACCCCCAAACCCCCTAAACCCCCTAAACCCCCAAAACCCCCAAACCCCCAAACCCCTAAACCCCCAAACCCAAGACTTCAGGATTCCCTCAGGCCCTGCAGGCCCTGGGCAGTTCTCTCAATTAGGGTTTAGGGTTTTAGGGTTTAGGGT